CGGCCACGTCTGCTGCGTCTTCGTCTCCAGCCTCGTCCTCGCCCTGGGGCTTGGAGGCCTTCGCATCGGGCGCCTTGCGCTTGGAGCCCCTCTTGCCCTTCGGGTTCGCATCCTCGTCCTTCTCGGACTCGTAGAGCTGACGGATGGCGGACTCCAAGTTCTTCAGGTCCTCCAGCCACATGGCCTGGATGGAGGTGCGCTTCACCTTCTCGAGCTCGTTCGCTTTGTCCTTCGCCATCCTCTCCAGCTCCTCCTTCCTTTCCTTCGTGAGCGAAGCGATCTGCATGATCAGCAAGTATTCGAAGCCTGTTCTGGGAGGCTTGGTGTCCCCGAACTTCATAAATTTGAACCTGATAAGGTCCTTCACGACGTCTGCCTTCTTGCGGTTGTTGATGTGCAACTTCTTGGCGCACACCATGCCGATGAAGCGAGCGCGATTGTTCAGAAGGTCCCTTTCCAGAGTCAGCTTGTCAATGAGGTACTTCTTCCGGGTGTCGTAATATTTCAGGCGCACGCCAGCAAACTCCTCCATAATGTCGAGCACGTTTTTGTACTTCTGGATCTTGCCTTCCGAGTTGAACAAGACCATATTCGTCTCATTGATGCTGCCCCACAGCTTGAACGAGTGCTCAACACCTGCCTCCTTCACGCCCTTCAGCTCCTCGTCGGACATCTTCACAGAGAAGTGCACGTTCTTCTCGGTGTGGTGCTCTCGCACGTCCTGCACCGAGATCTTGGACTTGGCCTCGGCTCCAGGCAGCATCGTCTGCAGGAACTCCTTGTAGTCCTGCGTCCACTTCCGGATCGGCAGCTCCGTGATCTCCAGGCCTTTGTCGCTTTGCCAGTACTTCCCCCAGCTGTAGTAGGAGCCCTTGCCGAGGTGCTCAATGGCGCCCGTGAACCCACGGAACCACGGCCGCATGGGCCTCATCTTTTTCTTCCCGATCCACAGCCTCAAGTTCTCGATGATGGCGAGGGGGTCGTAGTTCGGGATGTCGGTGCTCCAGCCGGTCCCGATGCCCGCGGCGCCGTTCACCAGCACCATGGGGATGACCGGCACGTAGAACGACGGCTCGATCCGCTGCCCGTCCTCGGCGAGGTAGTCGAGGACCGCGTCATCCAGCGGCGAGAAGACAAGCCGCGTGACGGGCGACAGCCGCGTGTAGATGTACCTGGCGCTGGCGTGGTCGCTACCACCCTGCAGACGGGTGCCGAACTGCCCCGATGGCACGAGCAGGTTCAGGTTGTTGGAGCCGACGAAGTCCTGCGCCATCGAGATGATGGTGCCAGCGAGGGACGCCTCCGGAAGAAGAAACAACTGAATTAACATAAACTGTCGAGGGTCCGCGCGGATTTCTCGGATCAGCGCCGGAGGCGCCGCCAGGGGTGTCCGCCGCAGATCCAAGAAATCCACGCGAATCCTCAAAAGAGTATGCTTATACAGTGCTTTCTTCTTCGAGCCTCTCCGTGGTGGTACGCGCTGTGCTCGCCGACGTACCCGACCAGCTGTGCCACCTTCACATCGCTGCGCAGGTTGCGCTTGAAGCAGCAATAGAGCACCTTGCGCTGCGTCGGCTTAAAGCCGTCCATTACCGAGGGCACACTGCGCATGACGCTGTACTTGGAGAACTGCACGAGCTCCAGATTGACGAAGTCCTGGTACGAGATTTTGGGCTGGTTGTGGTCCACGAAGGTCCCCTCCTCGTAGTTGTTCATCCAAGCCTTGCGGTCGTCCGCGCGAGTCTTGCTGAAGGCCATGTCTATCAGCTCACCGTCCTTGTTGGATTTCCACTCGAAGTCCAAGCGGTGCTCCTCCATGGCCTTGAAATATTCCTTGGCCTCGGCTGCGGTGCTCGTGCCCAAGCCCTTGTAATACTTGACGTGCCAACCGGACTCCCCCTCGTGCTTCTTCTTCCATTCCTCGTACTCGTTCTGCGTGAAGAAGGTGTGGACACTTGATCCCTTAATACACTTGACGATGGGCGTAACGAACTCCTTCACGAAGCCTCCGTCCTTGAGGAGGTCAGGCCACCAGAAGTGGAAGAAATTGATGAGCAGGCCCTTAATGTGAGATCCGTCGTAGTCCTGGTCTGCCATGATCATCACGGAGCCGTACCGCATCTTCTTCTGGTCTCCCTTCTGACCGAAGCTGAGGCCGAGGATCTTGACAATGCTCATGATCTCCTTGTTCTCGGCCACCTGCTTCTGGGCGACATCCCGCACGTTGAGCAACTTCCCGCGCAGAGGGAACACACCGTACCTGTCGCGCCCGACCACGGCGAGGCCTGCCACCGCCAAGGCCTTGGCGCTGTCCCCCTCCGTCAAGATGAGCGTACACTCGCTGGCGTGCTTGCCGCCGGCATCGTTGGCGTCCTCCAGCTTCGGGATACCCAGCACCCGCTTGCCCTTCGCGCCCGCCTTGCCCATCCTGTCCATCTGCGCGGTCATCTTGGCTTGGGACTCTGCGATCACGGCTGACACGACGTCGGTCTTCTCGACGATCTCGTCCACGAGGGCCTTGCCGATGGGGCAGGTGCTTCCGAAATTGGACGCCTTGAGCGTCATCTGCTCCTTGGTTTGCGAGCTGAAGGCCGGATTCTCGATGAGGCAGTTGACGAACACCCAGAGCTGGTTCTTGACGTGCATGGTCTTGATCTCGGTGCCCTTGCCCGCTTCCTTCTTGGCCCTGGCCTGGATGGCCTCCACGAGCTGGTCCACCACGTGGGCGACGTGGGTGCCCCCCTTCGGGGTGCTTATCGCGTTGACGAAAGAGTTGTGCTGGAAACCCTCGCCGTCCGACTTCGCGACCACCAGCTCCCAGCGCTTGCCTATCTTCGTGTGGACGTAGCTATCGGCCGAGTGGAACAGGTTCGCGTAGTCGGCGAAGCTCTTGACGGGCAGCTTCTTGCCGTCGAGGTACACGGAGCAGCGGTCGCCGCTGGTGCCAGCCACGTCGTAGACGCGCCTGCGCATCAGCGCCACGGTGTCCTCCTCCAGCTCCGACATCCCGAACTTCGGAAGGTCGGGCCAGAACTCCACGCTGGTGAACGGCTCGCCAGAGTACTTCTTGATGTCTGGCTTCTCCTTTCTACCCATGTTGCTGGTCCACTTCTGCGAGTAGCGCTTGCCGCCCACGGCCGTCTCCACGACGAACCGGGTGCTGAAGATGTTGGTGAGCTTGGCACCGAAGCCGTTGCGGCCGCCGGTGACTTTCTTCTCCGTGTCGTCGTAGTTGTCGCTGGTGAGCAAGTGGCCGAAGACGAGCTCTGGTACGTACACCTTGTGCTCCTTGTGGATCGCAATGGGAAGCCCCTTGCCGTTGTTGGTGATCTTGATGCGTTTCTGTTTTGTGTCGATCTCGACCTTGATATAGTTCATACTCTTGTCCCGCTGCAGGTTGTCAGCCGAGTTGACCAGAATCTCGTCAAAGATCTTGTAGAGGGCTGGCACATAGGTTATGCCTCTGTAATCCATCTCCTCCTTCTGACTGTTCCAGACCCACTGGTGGTCGTCCTGCTTTTCCACCGAGCCCACGTAGGTGTCAGGGCGCAGGAGGATGTGCTCCACTGGTGTCTTCTTCTGGTAGATCTGCTCCACGGTCTTGGTGCGGCGCAGTCCGGCGGTCCCCCCCTCGCCAGACTCCACGCGCTTGGCCTTCTTGATGTTCACCTTGAGCGTGTGCCTCTTCACCCCCTTCGGAGGCATCGCTCGGTGCGGGGCCGAGCTCCCGACCAGCGGCGCGTGGAGCTCTCCGCTGACCTCGAGCCTGCGATTCGAGTCAAAATGACTACGGATGATGGGCCCGCAGGGGTCTCCAAGAGGGCCCTGATCGCCATGAGGTCGGTCCATGGTGTAGAGGCCTCCCACATTTGGTCCGAGCAGATGAAGTCAGAGATTCGCGCCGCATCGCCGATGCATCGCGGATGCGTTGGTGATGCATCGGCGACGTCGGCAATGCGTCGGAACCGTTGGCGTGGGGAAAATCGAGCTCCACATCGAGTCGCATCGCCGATGCATCGGCGACGCCGCGCGATCCTCCGACCCTATCTACCAGGACCCCATCTGGGAGACCTGGAAGGTGGCCCCAGTTGCCTCTAAGATGGCCCCGGTGACTCCGAGCTGCTTCGATGTTCGCCCAAGATGCCTCTGAGGCGGCCCAGGATTGGCCTCAAGACTGTGCCAGACGGCCATCTCGTCGGTCTCTTGGACCGTCTGGGGGACCCCTGGCGCGTCGGCCCAGGATGCAGGGCAGGTCCGGGGAGGCGACGTTTGGAGAGGGGGTTTTGGAGGGCGACATTCTTGCGTTCTGCCTCTGGGGACCAAGTCGGACCCCAGGACCATCAAAGACTGCCCAGGAAGAAACAACTGGTCCCTGGGACTGGGCACGCTTGCTCCTGGCTCCTGCACGAGGGGGCGGCGGGGGAAAGGGGGTGGGGGGGACGAGGGGGCCGCACCCGCTCGGGGAACCAGAGGTCCGTAGCTCGAAGCTCGAAAGAGGGGGTCGAGGGGCCCTGGACAAGGGTTCGGTAACAAACTATGGGAGCAAATCATGGATTCGATTAGCGTCGATTAGCGTCTGGAGGTCGGGATTGCGCCGATTTGGCGTCGGTTAGCGTCGATCAGCGTCGATCTAGCGTCGATTAGCGCCGACTGGCGACGAGTGGCGTCGATTCGCAGGAGCCGACGAGATGGTATGGGAGGCTCCCACGAGTTGCCACCCGAACAAGGGGGAGGGGGGGGGCGGGAAGGGGGAAGACCAGAGGGAAGGGGCGAAGACGACGATGGGTCTGGGCCAGGCGGGACCTGGGGCGCCCAGCAGACCCAACGACTGCGACAAAACAATAACGGGTCAAGATTCCACCACCACTGCCATAGGTAGGCCGGGGGAGGTCCTCCTCCTCCTCCTCCTCCTCCTCCTCCTCCTCCTCTTCCTCCTCCTTCTCCTCCCCTCCTCCGCCCTCCTCCTCCTTCCCAACCCTCCTCCTCCTCCTCCTCCCCTCCTCCTCCTTCTCCTCCTCCTCCTCCTCCTCCTCCAGTTATTTTCCTTATGAATAACTTTTTCCTGCTGATAAATAACTTCTTCCTGTCGCATCCCGAGGCCAGTTTTTGGGGCGGGCCGATCGCCTGAGACTTCCTCACCATGTATGACTCTGAAGCTTTAAAAATGGCAGGTGTTTCACGGATTGAGGGCGGGTGGTTTTCAATATGTGGCTATCGCCTTAGCGCCGCGCACATTCGATGGAAAATCTTGCAAGAGCTTCACGGATTGAGGGCAGGTGGCCCTCGGCAACCTCTGGCCAATCCGGGGGAAGGGAAGAATCCTTTTGCCCGGCAGCGCCCTAACGAGCTTCTCCTGAAATAAAACGCAGGGGCACCAGCAGCAACACCCGCACCCTTCGCTACCAGAGATCACCCAATTCAACGTTCGCTACCAGAGATCTCCCAAGTCAACGATCTCCCGTCAGCTCTCCTGGCCATCGTTCCTGGATGAGCTGGTGGAGATACGCGAAGCGTCAAGAATTCAAGGCGGCCTCTAATTCCCGATGGTACGGCAATGTTTCGTGGACCTGTCATGTTCAGTACCTCATCGTTCCCCTCTGCTCTTGAAGTCTTTTCCAGATCTGAGGTCTCCCGTGGTCCGAACGCACCAGTTTTTCGACCTGCGCCAGGCTGCAACGACGAGGAGAGCCCCCAAAAGGCCAGAAAGCCGCGAACCTCGAACGTCGAGGCTCGAAGGTCAAACCTGGACGTCAACCTTCTTAGTCAAAATCAACGAAATCCGTTGAAAGTCGATCCCCACCCCTGCCGGGGTCCATCAGCCTCCCTTCCCCTCCACCCGTCCCGGTCTCCTTCCACCCGTCCCGGTATCCCTACCCTCCTGGACTTTCTCCTTCGTCCTATCCCAGCCTCCCTTCCCCTCTTCCCTTCTGCGGCGACATAATGTCAGCCAAAGTGAACCGATGGGGGGGGGGGAATTTGTGTGTCTCCTTAAAAGGACAGAAAAACAAATTCCCCCTCGTCAACCCCAAGATTGCGAACGATCATCGCTCACGCTTAAAGGATTTGCATGACTTTCCGCGACGCTATGACCCATGACCTGCGGAGCGTGGCATCTGGACGCTACACTCACAGCGGAAAGCGGAACGCGGCGACCTGGCGAAAACACTTCCCCTTCGTCATACCTGCCAGGCTGGAGCCACCAATTCGCTCTCGGACCTTTCCCGACCGGACTCTCGTGTATCACTACCACGCAACTACAATTTCGTGTACCCAACAACTGCACGCTACAACAAATTCCCCTCTCCCAGGATCCTCACGAAACACCACGAGAACATATTGCCCTCTCCCAGGATACTCACGAACACCACGCAACCAAATCGCTACAACAAATTCACCACTCCCAGAAAGCCCACCAAAAAACACACGGACAAAAATGCACCCCATAATGTCCACGCAGCACAGAACAAACATATTCCCCCAATCCGACTTCCGTATATCACCACAACGCACGCTACAACAACTTCCCCTCTTCCAGGACACCCACCCAAAGACACCCGAAAAAAGCCCGCTCCACATGATGTCCACGCAACACAACTCAAACAGATTCCCCCAAACAGAAGCCCGTGTCACTAAAAAACACGCTACACAAAGTTCACCTCTCCCTGGGCATCCTCGAGAAAACCACGCGAACAAATTCCCCCTTCCCGGGATATCCACGCAGCACCATAAAAAACATATTCCCCAAGGAGACTTTCTTATACAAGTACAAACCACGCTAAAACAAATTCCCCACTCCGAAAAGAACAACGGAACACCGCGCCACCAGCGTCCCCCGGCCCAAAATATCCGCGCAACACCACACACAAATTCCCCCAACTGGACTTTCTTATAACACCACGACGCACGCTACAACAAGTTCCCCTCCCCCAAGATACCCTCGAAACACAACGCGAAAATATGCCCCCTTTCCCATACATCCACGCAGAACCACAACAACAGATTCCCCCGAACCATACTTCCGTATATCACAACAACGCACGCTACAACAACTTTTCATCACCCAGAATACCCACGCGAACCCACACGAAACAAACCCGCTCCACATGATGTCCACGCAACACCACACAAACAGATTCCCCCAACCAGATTCCCATACCACTACAAAGCACGCTACACAAAGTTCCCCTCTCCCTGGGCATCTACGAAACACCGCGCGAACAGATTCCCCCTTCCCAGGATATCCACGCAGCACCATACACACAGATTCCCCCAACCAGACTTTCTTATATAACTACAACACACGCTACAACGAATTCCCCACTCCCACGAGAGCAGCGGAACACGGCGCCGCAAACATCCCCCTGCCCAAGATACCCGCGCAGCACCACACAAACAAATTCCCACAACCGGACTTTCGTATATCGCCACGACGCACGCTACAACACATTCCCCTCCCCCAAGATACCCTCGAAACACAGCGCGAACAGATTCTCCCTTCCCCATATATCCACGCAGAACCACAACAACATATTCCCCCAACCAGACTTCCGTATATCACTACAACGCACGCTACAACAACTTACCCTCTCCCAGCATACCCACCCAAACCCACACGGAAAAAAAAAAACGCTCCACATGATGTCCACGCAACACCACACAAACAGATTCCCCAAACCAGATTCCCATATAACTACTAAGCACGCTACACAAAGTTCCCCTCTCCCTGGGCATCCACGACACACCGCGCGAACAGACTCCCCCTCCCAAGCATATCCACGCAGCACCATACAAACAGATTCCCCCAACCAGACTTTCGTATATAACTACAAAACACGCTACAACAAATTCCCCACTCCCACATGAACAACGGAACACCGCGCCACCAGCTTCCCCCTGCCCAAGATATCCGCGCAGCACCAAACAAACAAATTCCCCCAACCGGACTTTCGTATATCACCACGATGCACGCTACAACAAGTTCACCTCCCCCAAGATACCCTCGAAACACAGCGCGAACAGATTCCCCCTTCCCCATGTATCCACGCAGGACCACAACGACGGGTCCCCCAACCGGACTTCCGTATATCGCTACAACGCACGCTACAACAATTTCCCCTCTCCGAGGATACCCACCCAAACCCACACGAAAAAAAACGCTCCACATGATGTCCACGCAACACCACACAGACAGATTCCCCCAACCAGATTCCCATATCACTACAAAGCACGCCACAAAAAGTTCCCCTCTCCCTGGGCATCCACGAAACACCGCGCGAACAAATTCCCCCTTCCCAGGATATCCACGCAGCACCATACAAACATATTCCCCCAACCTGACTTTCTTACATAACTATAAAACACGCTACAACAAATTCCCCTCCCCAACAAAAAAAAAACGGAACACCGCGCCACCAGCTTCCCCCTGCCCAAGATATCCGTGCAGCGCCACACAAGCAAATTCCCCCAACCGGACTTTCGGATATCACCGCGACGCACGCTACAACGCTACAACAAGCTCCCCTCCCCCAAAATACAAAGGAAACACAGCGCGAACTGATTTCCCTTTCCCCATATACCCACGCAGGACCACAACCACATATACCCTCAACCAGACTTCCGTATATCACTACAACGCACGCTACAACAACTTCTCCTCTCCCAGGATACCCACCCAAATCCACACGAAAAAAGCACGCTCAGCTTGATGTCCACGCCACACCACACAAACATATTCCCCAAACCAGATTCCCATATCAATACAAAGCACGCTACACAAAGTTCCCCTCTTCC